AAATTTTGGTGGCCCACTATGATGCAAGATGCGAAAAAGTACGTTGAAACCTGCCAGGTTTGCCAAAGGGACAAACCTAGGACTCAGGCTCCGCTCGGGCTCATCAAGCCCTTGCCGATTCCTGAGGGTCCTGGTCAGAGTGTGTCCATGGACTTCATGGATATCCTTGTGACCAGCAGGTCTGGAAAAAGGCACATCTTCGTGATAGTAGACTGCTTTTCTAAGTATGTAAGACTTATCGCTATGCCAGAAACTGCTAAGACTGACTATGTCATCAAACTGTTTCTGGATAATTGGGTTCGGGATTTTGGTCTACCTACGTCAATAGTAGGTGATAGGGATGTAAGGTTGACCAGCGAACTGTGGCAGGCGACAGCTGAGCAGATGGGTACCAAGCTGCAAATGACATCAGGGAATCACCCTGAGTCAAATGGCTAGGCAGAACAGATGAACCGGGTAGTACAGTGCCTGCTTCGACATTATATTAAGTCAAATCAGGATGACTGGGACGAGAAGTTACCTCTCGTCGTCAGCCTGTACAACAATGCTGTGCACAGTACTACTGGTATGACTCCCACCCAGCTGCACCTTGGTTGGAAACCCAAAACTGCACTTGACTTTCTGCTACCAGAAAGGCCACCCACTGCAGCTCCTGGCAGCATAGAGTTTGCTGTTAATTATGAACAGAATCTGCAGCAGGCCGTTGAACATATTAGAAAGTCTCAGGATGCTATGATCGCATCTGAGAATAAACATAGACAGCCCTGTAACTTTCAGGTAGGTGATAGAGTCTGGGTAAAGTCATCTGAACTAGGTCAAGAGTTTGGGATTTCACGTAAACTAATGCCATAGTACTTTGGGCCTTGGGAGATCTTAGACATTGTAGGAAATCAACCGGATGGACCTTCATACGTGATTTGTGTTCCTGCACACTTACGCACTTACCCTGCTTTCCATGCATCCAAGTTGGCACCTTTCGCTGCCACAGACCAGTTTCCCTCCAGGAGATCAATGCTGCCCCCAACCATGGACGAACACGTGGACATTGACAATATCATCAAGCACAAGCTGATGCCCGTGCCCAAACCTCCAGGAAGGGGACAACCGCCAAAGCCACAGATGCAATACCGAGCGCGGTTCAGACATCACATTGATCCTCAAGAAGACCGGTGGTTCACAAGAGAGGAATTAATGAAGACTGCTCCCCAAATTATCTCAAGTTACGAGAGAAAGCTGAAAGGGAAGCAGCCTGTTACATAAGAACTTCTCAGAGGACTATTGAAAAAAAGGAGGAGGGAATGCAAGGATCTGGGTCCTCGGCAGGCCTAAGGGGCCCCTGCTGCAAATGTGCCCGCCCTAAGTGAAGGCGGGCCTAACAAATCACGAGAGGCCTTGGCTGTCAATCTCGTATTTGGGTCCAGGCAGTTTCGTCGTGCCAGTTGGTTGAGGGAAACACAGACCGGGCAGCGAGGAAAAATCCCAGGCCTTCCAGGCCTTTCCAAAATGGTGCAGGCCCTGGACGAGAATCCCAGCCTCATACACAGACAGTTGGGAGGCCCAACCAAATGAGGCTCGTAGCTGCAAAGAGGCGTAGCATCCCGGGGCCTACCGAAAGCTTCTGGGCCCAGGCCAGTCCAGCCAGGCTGCCGAATGAGGCTGGCTCTTTCCATATAGGAAAGAGCTCGCTGCCTGGCCAGGAATTGGGGGCACTCGCATGCTGGTGGCAGCGCTGCTGGAGCTGAAGCTCATGGGCTGCTGCTAGCGCTGAGAGGCGAAGTGCAAGCACGTGTGGTTGTGCAAGGCGGAGGGCGCTGCTGAGTGCAGCGCCATAGCCCAGCCTCCATAGCTGGCGGGCTTGGATGTACAGTGAGGCGCAGGGGTGGTCTTCGGGTTTCAAGAAGGAAGATGTGGGAGTAAGACGAGGGAGAGAGAGAGAGAGGGAGAAGAATGATGATGATGATGATGTGAGGGCACATACCTGGTATTGGCGATGGTGCAATCAGACTCGCTTTCATTCACACTTCAGATGCATGCAAACAGGTTGCGCAGCAAACTGGCGTCAAGCGCCCACTCAGAACTCAGAGATACGGTAACCCAGAAAGCAGCTTAGATACAAGTTCACTTCAACTGGCTATGGCGGCACATCGCCTGTACAACTCTGTTCGTCACTCGCTCAACACTGCTGTTCGCACACAGGATCACCCTGGATATCCCACACGCAACACCCTGTACACTCGCACACACACACACACACCTACAGCTATTGCGGCTATGTCCGCTGCTACTCTATCGCTATGGCTAACCTCCTTCTCGCCCACTTCGTCCTCGGGCTCGCTGCGGACCACCTCGCACAAGTCGCTATGGCAGCGCTTCCGCATGGCTTACGCAGGAATGAATGAATGGCTGGTAGCTGCCTCTCGATTTATACTTCTGTAGCTCGTTGGTCTGGCCCTTCCCCATGCCCGTGGTGCACACAGTCCCGTATGGTACTTGCTGTACTGGACTAGGACTGACTGGGACTGGGACTGCTGACTCAGCACGGGTAGACTCCACCACTTGCCCACTTGCCTCTGTTTCCAACGTGAGCAGCTTCGAAAGGCCACTTCTGGAAGTTAGTGGACTTGGCCTTTCGAGTGCTGTAGCAGCTACGACCTTGACTTCTCAGGACTGTAGCAGCTACGACCTTGACCTTTCAGGATCCCTACAGCTACGACCTCTACAGGGCTGTGACTCCTACTCGACAGACCTACAGATCGAACCCCTACCACTACACAGACCTTCGACAGACAACAACAACTGTCAAAACACAGGTCACGGTTTCAAACACTCGGGGTCGACACAGATACTGTACACAGGTAAGGTGAGAACTAGGGATCGAGCCCTGGGATCTCCATTCCTTACTGCTAAAAAGTGAAAACCGTTTCAATGGTCTGCATGGGCGACATCTTCAAGTACTTTGGCGGCTCAGCCTGCTGAATTGTCAATTAGTAGGCTAGTAGTAGCTGTGTAGGGAGTAGGCTGGGCGCCAAGTGCCAAGTAGGGATAGGGACTGGATACATATGTTGGTGGTGGCGAGAGCAAGCTCTCATTAACATTGGTTTTCAGTGCTACGATTCTCCATTGGTGTCATATTGGTGCAATGCTGCTTTCTGAACACTGTGAAACGATCTGGCTTTCAATGTGAGTGTGCAATCTGAATATTGTCATCTCACTATTGCTCATTTTCCTTGCAGTACCATTAGATCGCAATACATCAACGGCAGAGCTCTGTCCCACCATGCCACACGTGATAGAAAGCTCAGAGTTGAGAAAACTCAACGACGTAGGTGGGACCAGACCCCAGGCAAAAGTTGTTTGTATTATTATTTTACATAACATTATTTTATTAACATATATATATTTTCAGATTTTTCTGAGACTTTTTTTTTTTAATAATATTTTTATGTTCGCGTTCGGAGGGTTTTGTTGCTTGTTCGTGTCTGGTTGCGAACTTGCGCACGTTCGGGTCAGGTGACCGAACCTGAACACGATGCTATACAATTCAAGACTTTCAAACAACTTTTGTTTTTCAGTTTTTTTTCCATCTCTTGGGGGGGGGTCTGAAACTTTCACCCTGTCCTCTGATCTGATCGTCCTGAAGTTTTTACAGGTTTTCACTTTTCTTAGGGCATGTTTTCACTTTTTTGGGGGCAGGTTTTCACTTCTCTTGGGGGGTTCTCAAGCTAGCTCCATTCTCGTTCGCTCACTGGGGCCCTGAAGACACCTTCTATCTCATTCGCTTACTGGGGCCCTGAAGACACTTCTATCTCATTCGCTTACTGGGGCTTCAATCGGGCCACTTGGTGAGCGAATGACAAGTGGTTGGCATTCTTTCCGGGGTGGAATCAATCGGGTGGTGAAGTGGTAAAACTCGGCCGACAGTCAAAACCGGCATTGAGCACCGAGTGGAATCCAAGAAGCACGATATGGAAAAGATTAGTACAGGGCCTGTGCGAAGGGGATGGTACACAATCTAAGAAACAAAGGGCCCTGTTCCCCCACTTGCCAAATGTGAGGGTTGTGAAGAGTACGTTTCTGAAAAGAACGTGACCGCGTATGTTCCTGAAAATAACGTGACCGAATACATTCACCAGTTTAACTCTTTGGGCAAGTGGTGGAACATGGGGCATGCTCACCATACATTGAAAATTGCAACCTGATTTTTTCTTTTCTTTTTTTTAAGCAGATTTTAAACTGTTCACTGATCAGAACATTTACTACACGTGATCTCCCTGGCACCTTGACGATATACATTATCGAACAGATGGGGTGTGAACGTGCAGTCTGTAGAGTCTTCTGTCTGGCGTGGGTGGGTGATAGTCTGCTTTGATTTTCCTCATAGGTCACCTTGAGAGCAGTGGTTGGTGGTCCCCGCCTCCTCAGAGCTGTATCTGTTGTGGGGCAGTTGTTGATGCGTCATTGCAGCTGGGACCACATTGCAGCTGGGACCACATCGCGGCTGGGACCACATCGCAGCTGGGACCACATCGCAGCTGGGACCACATTCATTTCTCCTACTCGTTTTTCTTGACATTTATTTCTTGAATTTTCTTCCCATGCATTTCTAATTTTCTACTCTTATTCTTTTTTCTTGCCGTTCATTAGCTCACTGTCTGACTCTGCTCCTCTAGAGAGTCTTCCTTTATTATTATTATGGAATAAAAATAATGAGTAGTGAATACTGCGTTGTGACGATGAATTTTGCAGGCTACAAGATGGCTGGCTTTGGCGGAGGCACAGCACGGGGATTGCGAGAGCTGGTCGACGTCTTTGTTTTTTTTTTTGAATTGGCACAATGACAAGTCCGTAGCAATGATTGCCTTAAGTCTGACGTCCTCCTGCCGTTGCTGCTGCTTTGGTTCTCGACTTGTCATTGCAATGTGCGAGTGTCATCTTGCTTAGTCGGATATGCTGAACTGAATGTTGGTTCCGCTCTGTTTTCTTTTCCATCCTTTCTATAGCAGGAGTGCGTAATCTGCCTGGCAGAGAACAGGGACACGCTGGCATTGCCGTGCAGACACTTGTGCATGTGCAGCGAGTGCGCAAAAGCTCTTCGGTATCAGACCAACAAGTGCCCCATCTGGTCAGTCTCACATCCTCTTGATTCACCCCCTTCGGTCAGACAGAGGGCATGGGGCGATTTCTAATCCCATTGTTTGCTCTTTGTATTCCTCTCTCCTCCCCCTTTCCCCTCCTCCTCTTCCTCTGTGTTCATCCCCCTTCCCTTTCCCCTCCTCCTCTCCCGTGTTCAGCTCTCCTCCCTGTCCCGTCCTCCTCCCCGCGCTCATCTCACCATCCTTTCCCCCCTCGCCATGTTCATCTCCCCTCCCTTTCCTGTCCCCCCCACCCTGTCTTCATCTCTCCTCCCTTTCCCCTCCTCCCTGTGTTCATCTCTCCTTCCTTCTCCCTCCCCAACCCATCTTCATCTTCCCTCCCTTTCCCCTCCTCTCCCTTGTCCGTTTCTCGTCCCTTTCCCGAGTTTCCTCCCCTCCTCGCCGTGTTCATCTCCCCTCCCTATCCCCTCCTCCTGTGTTCGCCGCCCCTGCCTTTCTCCTCCTCCTCCTCCTCGCCATGTTCATCTCCCCTCCCTTTCTTCTATTCCTTCCCATCTTGCTGCCCCCTGCTCCCAGGTGTGTGGCCACTTACTGCGAACTATCTGGGGAGCACGACCCCTACAATTGGTGTAGAGTGTTTTAACTTTTAAACTGTTTTATGTCCAAATTTCTCGAGAAACACACATCTGGTGTGACGTTACACACCCTCTCCCCTGGATTTTCCACATGACATTGTACATTTTCCATATCTCCATGTCAACTCTCCATGGGTGTACCATGCAGCCACATGGGCCTGGTGGTCGCTTCCGTCTCTACCTTGCGCCTTTTCCGCTCTTCATTTCCGTCTTCCTAGTAGCTGGGGCATGCTCACTCTAGCTCTATCTTAAGTATATCTGAATGCATTTACGGCTGGGCTTGGATGCATCTGACGAACACGGGAGGTGGACATACAGATCTGGACGTGATTGCAGTCAGATTCTGACCACAATTATGCCCATAAATAAGCAAAGAAGCCCTAGTGTGAGTACACCCTTACTGTTGCATTTTGAACTGTTTATTATTTCCTGTGGGTAAAAAATTACTAAAAAAATAAAAATCAATCATTTACTGTACTGATTCCCGTCCTTTTCAAACTTCTTGTCATTTGCTCAACCAGCGATGAACGTCCAACCCTCTCTTTAGCGCTCGGGAAAAAATAAAATGACAAGAAACCTGTACCTCTACTAGTACTACTACCTCCAGCATTATTCACTGGTGGGTCGGTCGGAGTTTTCGGAGTGAGTCTTCCGATGCGCACGGGCTTTCTCCATGTGGTCTCCTGCCTGCAATGCCTCCTGACCTCTATGGCGTGTCAGGCTGATGTCGACTCTGCCTGCCTTTAAAGTCTGCTGGCCTCCATCATGCTGGAGAGGAGGTGTTGATTGTGGGCGTGTTGAAGGCTCTGAATGTGCGTGGATTTTGCTGTGTGTGTCCTTCCATATGGATTGCTGGCTGGACGCCTGGCCTACGCAACTTTTTTTATTTATTTATTTCCCCTTATCTTATGCAGGGGCCATGCTAATCGTCTCTGTATCGTTCCAATTTTAATGGATGTCCCAAAGTTTTTTTTTTTTTTTTTCTGGGCCTACATGCTATTTCAGAGTGGTATTGACCGTGTGGGGTGGTTAGAGATTCTGGATGCTTATGTGTCTTTCTCTCTGTGTTCTTCCATGTGGCTGTTTGCCTGCGCTCAGAGTCCCCCGACAGGCCTGACCTACATGTTGTTGCACCATTCTCTGCAGGCACAGTACCCTTGCACACAGAGGTTGGCCTGCGTGTCATGTCAGAGTTTTTCCATCTGCCTGGCCGCATCTGTCAGATCGATTGGGGCGCATTCGACCCCTATTCCAGTCTGGTCGCGTGTCTGAGCTACAGTGTTCTGTCTCCATGCATCGTTCTGTATGTGTGTTTCTCCGTTTTTTTTTTTGTTTTTTTTTTTGTTTTTTTTTTTTTAACAGGGCCTTTTGGTCCTGGCTCCTTCTATTCTGGGGAGCGTGAGTCCGGTTCCTATTCCACCGGCAAGTCAAAAGGAAGATTACATTGCATCAGAGACTCACGCTTCCTCCCGTTTGGCCGAAGGACCCCTGAACAGCATCGATTGCTCCACCATTGGTGGAGGATTGACTGTCAGCTTGCCATGACTCACTCTTTCCTCTCAGATCTGGTAAAACCAGCTCTGCCTAATAAAGCTATGTCACCAAGAAAGAGCTCGCCCATAATTTCTGCTTGCTTATGCTTCCCTCCTCGCCAGTTCAGCCCGTGAGTCGAAGTGTCCCTTCTCCCATTGAGCCTTCTCCCTTTTTTTAGATGCTACCAGAGCCCTAAACCCTGAATCCTCCACTATTGGGCCTCTCCGTTTTTTTTTCTATCTCGGAGTAGATCTTGATTAACACATGTTCTAATCTGACCATTGAGCATTGTGCCATTGACAAGAAGAGAATGTTCAATGTTCGTTCCACGAACGTGCTTTGAGGTTCAGGTGAGCGGCCACTTCTGCGTGGGCCTCGAAACATGGAACAGCATATCCCTCCATTGTGAAGGGTGCTCTTTGCAACATCTTGGAAGTCCATGGAGAAACCTATTTTTGATATTCCTAGTAGAGACATATCTTCACAGCGACACATCTTGAAAAAAAGAAGATGTTCGTAGAGAGTTGGAGCAATATCTCTTAACCCCCTGTTCTGAGGACAAATGCCTTGAGAAGCCCATCATGCGCTCTGTAGTCTCCTCCTGTCTCAAAGCCACTCTGCGATACAAAAGTTGGATTGGTTTCTGGGTATACAACAGCTGGATTGGCTTATGGCATTGCACGCGCTCGCTTACTTGTGTTCATGTTACTCTGTGTGTGTGTGTGTGTGTGTGTGGTGCTGTTGGGACTTGGTTGACTCTTTGTAGCCGGAGCGAGCTTCACTCATTGCTCGTAATCAACCTTGGCGACACGCCAGCACAACTGCCATAGGTGCAATGGAAGCTCTTGTGCTTCGGCAGGGGTGGCCTCATTTACGCAGCTTGGAGGAGAAGTACTGATGAAACCATCGTGCACATGACTAGAGACAGTCAAGGGAAGTGGCCGCTGCTCTGCTGACATCGCTGGCTCGGAGATGTGCTTCCCGTTGGATGAAGTGATGTGCTCCAATGATGCCGATTTATTGATTGCCAAAACAGTATGGGGTTGGTTATCTCTCTCGAGTTGAGATGATGCCGTGAAGACAAACAGGAGGAAGAGAGCGGAGAAGAAGAAGCGGTGGTAATATGTCTGTAGCTGGAGTTGGGATGGGGGGGGGCATGCGTATTTTGTGCATATGTACTTGTATAGTGATTGATTTGTCCTGCGATTCTGTGCAGATTGTGGCTTGTAATAATTAGAGTGGTAATTGTACAGGAAGATGGGAGGGAGGGTTGTGGAGGGAGGGGGAGGAGGAGGAGGAGGAGGAGGAGGAGGAGGAGGAGGAGGATCAAAAACACACCGGCAAATGAGTGCTGCTTCAACCAGCCACAGCCTTCAGCAGAGATCGTGAAGAGGAGGTGACATGTTCTTGCTTTCGTCTGCAGCTCGCAGTCTCTTCTCTTCCCTCTCCTTCGTCGTCCGATGCGCTATTTTTGTTGCTCTTTCTACCTTCGTTTTCCTCTTTCTCTCTCTTCTCATTCCTGTTCGCCAATTATGTCATTTGTCTGTCATCTTTTCGTTCCATGCTGCTCCTCTTCATACACACCTGCACATAAGCGAGCTGGGTACCTTTGTGTTGCCCGACAGAGTAGAACTGCAGCAGGGAGCCATAGCTGTGCTTCCCGACAGCTGTCTGTTTTCAGGCAGGCATGCCATTTGTACCTGTTGTCTTGATAGAGGCAGGAAGTCGTGATAGATAGACGTCTGTCGGAATATCCGTTTTCTGGAGGACGTGCCATCTGCGTAGTCTGTGTGTACGATTACAGGTCCAGCATTTGCGGAGCCGCTGAGTTGGCAATTAATTAGATGAGAATCCCCGTCAACAATATTGGCATGGCCGATCTAGTCCTCTTTCATCTTGTTGATCCTTCATGGACATAGCAACGAGTCATCAACGAGTCGTCCTTGGTAATAGTAACCATCCTTTAGAAGGGGGAGCTACAGGTCAAGTGGGAATCGATGGGCTTGGAGAGCCAGTCTCTGTCGCCGCTGCTATTTTGCTTGGTCAGCCGTCTTCCAGGGCGTTGTCGTATGTAGGAGGAAGTAGGGTTCGTTCATTCTGTAGTGTACGCATTAGGCAAACTCTGCCGATGTTATTTTTGGTAAGTCGGCCGTCATCCAGGCTTCCATGACTGTCATCAAATGTAGGGAGGAAGAAGAAAGGGGTTCAGTTGTGTCGTGTGATGCATCTAGTTTACGAGTGAGAAATTGCAACAGCCTTGCTTCCGGATATATATACTTCAACAATCTTTGAGGATGTCTTAGTTGTCGCTAGCTGTGAGTATTTTCCAGGCTTGTCACACTACGGTAGGTGGTATGGTTTGCGGACTCTGCTTCACGGACGATGCATGCAGCATGTCCTCTTCCTTCCTTCCTTCCTTCCTTCCTTCCTTCCTTCCTTCCTTCCTTCCTTCAAGTTGCATCCTTAACGAACCCATGTGCTACACCCGTCCTTTTCTTGCCCACCCTTCGATATCAAGCCTCTTGATTCCAGTCGATTGTGCTTTTCCTTAGCTACCATCTGGTTGACCGGGAAATCCGGGTGGGTGGGCCGCGCATCTGCGTAGCAGATGTGCTCTTGATGACCCATAACATTTGTAAGCCGCGAGCGGATGGCGCGATGAACTGGTCCTTGATCAGTCAAGTTTTCGTAATACAAGTTTCTGTACATTGCAAGTGTGCGGTAAACCATTGTTCGTCGGCTACGACGGCTAGCTGGTTGGTGGGCGATCTGGTTGCGCTTCTCGAGGACCAAACGTGCGTGAGCGGATTGACTCCGACGAGCTGTCTCGTCTGCAACGAACCATTGTTTGTCAGCTATCGACGCCTCCAGACGGGTGAGTGCTGCTGGCCCTTGTCATCCATAACCGTTACGGCTGTGGTCTTCACGCGAATAGAACGCCCGGTCATTATAGCGGTCTTTGGGCCAACTTTTGGTATAGATGCAGCGATAATGTCAACCGGGTGTTCTATTCGGGTGGAAGAAGGTAGTGCTCAACTTTGACATCAGGGAGCGCATCTGCCAATCAGGTGTTTTGTTTACGGCAGTAGTGGGACAGGGATAATGACCGGGTGTTCTATTCGGGTGGAAGACGGTAGTGCTTAACTTTGACATCAGGGAGCGCATCCGCCAATCACGTGGTTTGTTTACAGCAGTAGTGGTTGCTGCTGGAGCCGATGTGCTTGTTCTTAGCTATATGTTGCTGCTAGTCGTTGGCGGGCATGGTGGTAGGCAGGTTCTCTTAGAGGGAGGTCAGCGTAAGTGGGTCAGCCCACACAGGTCAGCGTTACACGATGTCGTCTGTCACAGCGTGGCAGGGGCATCCTGAACTGCCTGTTCACTGGATCTCGTACAGATCGGTGCAGTACACAGAATAGGTTGGCAGGGTTCGGTTGGGTTGGTGCGAAGCTGAGTGAGGAGGGAGGGGTCGGGTCGTGGATAGTTTAAATGGGAGGGCACTTCATGCTGAGATGAACCTTTGCTTTTGAAGTTGTTTGGGGCGCCGGGAAAGATAAGGGCTCGAAGAGAAGAGGTGCTGCGGAGCATGGGGTTAGACTTGCTATGGAAAGGTTTGCCGCCGCTATGCGGCAGTCTCTGTAGCTTTACTCTGTGTGCGATGTCAAGCAAGTGGAGAAGTCTGAGCTTCTGTACCTAGAGTGCGCACATTATGCTGTTGCGGAACTCGCGATACATTTTTAGGTGTGGGCTCTATCACTTACTTATAGCGAATAATTGCATCTGCTTGAAAGTGGAATGCAAAGAGTAACCGCCCTGAACAAGCAGGTTGTAAAGGTATCTTGATCCTGCTAAGGGCCTCTCAGCTTCGTACTTAGTAATACCGTAATATCTTAATTGATTGAGTGAATGTTTGCTATCCAGCCTGTGAGCTCATCCAACTGTGTTGGGTTATGTAGAAGTTGGAAAAAGACAGAACCAGGGTAGAATATGGCAGGTAGGTTGGTATTACGTACGACCTTTAGTTCGACTGTGCAGGCTGGCACTTCTGATTAGTATGATAGATCGACACTGCTTTATCTACGTTTGTATGTGGACCTCGTTACCACTGAAGCAGTTTTGACTTTTCTCGATGTAGGGCTGTGTGTGTGTGTGTGTGTGTGTGTGTGTGTGTGTGTGTGTGTGTGTGTG